CCAGTATTAGTGCGGTGTAGAGAGTGCTTCTCGGTGTTTTTTCATCTTCACGCCTGCCTTCCTTCCCGAGGTTTACCGATTTTCCATTCGTGACTTCGACCGATACCCGGTGGTGAGTAGTAGTACAAGCACATCAGTGTTCCGCGGCCAACCGGAGATTGGACGAACTACCGCCGTTCTCCTCGACTGCTTTTTCACGCTCCTCCACGTGTCGAGGGGAGAAAGAGAGAGAAAAGTGATTTCCACGTCGATCGTAATCGAATCATCGCTTTTGGTGCGATTTGGGAATTCAAACGGTAGCAAGTGAACCTCTCTATTTTCTTTGGAGAACTCGTGAGGACTAATCTAATCTAAACGAGGTTATATATTGTTTCTCGTTAATTCCATTGATCGCGTATGTCTCGTAAATTGATCTTCGATAATTTCGAGGTTAGGAGTCGGAAGATTTTGAAGTGAACGGATGGATTAATTTCGTCCCTCGGGATATAATAATTTTCAGAGGTTGGTGGATGAGATTTTAAGACGAGCTTGGTCGTGGTGGAGGGCCACATTTAGTCAGAGTTGCAGAATAGAGTTACGCGGCCTCGGTTAAAGTTAAAACACGCGTGGTGGGTTCACTGAAACGCGATGAAATTTGAGATCGTTTGGATCTAGAAGGTGGCAACGGCGTTTATGATGTAACGACCATGTAACGAACAACCGCATCCAAACTATCGTTTATGACTCGTTTATGATTCGTTAAAAAACACTCTAAAAGTTTGATTAGCAAAAGGAATCAATAATAAACTCGTGAAAAAAAAAAAATATTTCTCCTAATTATTAATTTTTTTTGTCAATCGGTTCATCATTTTCCAATTCAAATATTCTATACCGAATTCAATAGAAGAAAAGATTCAAATCACAAATCGATTAATTAAAAAATTAATTTTATCGAGTTAGAGAAAGAGATATAATATAGGGAAGAAAAATTACTTGCACAATGGGTGGAAATAAAGTATAGGTTAGAAAGAAGCGAATGGGTGCGAAGGTAGGGGTAATGGCTACCGCGTTGTGGAGAATCTAGCACCTTCCCTAATACGGCCTCGCGATCCGGCTTGCGTCTGCACGGATATAGAATCCTCCATCTCTCTTTCTGCTCTCTCGTAGTCTCTCTAGCATTTCTACTAATACCGTGGTCACTATACTCGCCACTAGACCCGCTTCCAAAAGTCCAAACTTCGATTTCTTACCAACCTCGTCTCTCAACTTTGCCTCTGATATTACCCTATGATATTTAATAGGGATTTATAACGTTACGTCGCACTAGTGTTGTTTACTTCCAGATTATATTAAGCCACGTGGTTGGAAATTTTAAATTTAAGGTTTTCAAAGTTCTTTTAATATTTCATCCTTCATCGATGATGAACGACGCCTTAAAATTTCATGCCTCCTTAATATCTATGAGGATAATTTCTATTCTGGGGTCATCTTATTATCATCTCATTACCGCTAATAATAAAAATTCCCTATGAATAATTATTAATGAGGTTCTAGGGGAATTGCAATTTTTATGATTATCTTTCGGAATTTTTTTGTTGCCTTTAATAATAAAAATTTTCTATGAATAATAATAATTGAAGTTCTAGGGGAATTTTTACGATTATCCTTCTACGGTATTTTTGGTTTCATTTCTATGAAAAATTGGGATTTATTTTATTTACAATGACATTATTGCACTTTGATGTTGTGATGTAATTGTGTGCGATAGAAACAACGTATTCTTTAGTTTTGTTTTTTTCTTTATTCTTTTTGGTCATTGAACACAAACTTTAAGATTCAAATCGTTCTCCATTGTTAAAAATAGACTTCGTCCGTATCGGTAGTAGGGCGGAGACTGGAACTGTTTACGTTCCTCGTGCAAGATTAGGTAATTGGAGGTTGAGTTATTCACTGTTTACGTATCGTAAAGTCTGTTAAAACATCGAAACTTTTACTTAAATTTCGTTCCACTAGAAAGAGAAGAATTTAAAGGCATCATTTTATCTTCGTTTTTCCTTCTAATTGAATATTTTATTTTATTTTTTTTTCCATTTAAATTTAATAAAAATCCAGAAACATGATTAATATTTCGAAATTTTATATCGATTTGGAAACTAATCGAGGATTTTTCTTCTTTTTTTTTTTTTTTTCAGTAACAGACAAAATGCCTTTTAAACCAGTAGAACATCCCAAGTGTCCCAAATGCGGCAAATCCGTGTACGCTGCAGAAGAACGTGTTGCTGGAGGACTCAAATGGCACAAGATGTGCTTCAAGTGTGGTAAGCGTTCGTTTCAAATATTAAATATTATCCCAGAAACATGTGCCTCGTGTTTTTATCTTGTAATTCAATAGTCAAACAAACTTCGATAAACATGCTTTCTCAAACTATACTTTTATCACATATGAATCGAACATTTTTTTTTAATTAAATTATAGAATTATTCTTTCATCTCAAAAAAAAAAAAACAAATCTTTTTATTTCGATAGAATGATTAAAAGCAGGCAATTATCGAAAGATCATCGAGCTCGTACGTAAAATATTTTCTTAAGAAAATTATCTTTTCGAAAATTAAATGATCGATACTCGAATATGATTTGAACGATGAATCTTAAATTGATTCACAAGATTTGTCAAAGATCTCGGCATCCCCCATTGCGCAAAAAACACCATCAGCCGTTTTTAAATTTAGCCATCCCTATAAATAAGTTTTATGCCAGTCCCGGATGGTTTGTCTTGGCCTTAATTAGTTTTGTATGCTAGCCAGAAATCAAATAGAGCCACCCAACGTTAAGTCGAGGGTGCAACGACCCGCGCGAACTCGCCGGCAAAAATCCGTACTTCGTGATCCTACTTGAAATAGGAACTCCATTGAATATTCATCCGCGGTTTTGAGCGGAAATATGCTGCATCGAAAATTAACGCGGATGTTATACTTTATTCACGAATATTCCTCGAATATTTTTTTTTTTTTTTTTTTTTTTTTTTTTGGTCTCTCTTTTAAAAAAGAGCAATAAGATACTTTCAATGGATTTCATGACGTTCACACGAGTATATAGTATATATGTAAATCAACCCTTAAGAGCTTGAAAAGTTTTTAATCATTAAAATATTATTATTTAATTTTATCTTATATTGTGAAAGATGATGGATTTTGATTTTGAGCAATATATTTTTGAATATTTGATTAATTATATGAAATGATCGATCAAGAATGAGTTCTCCGATTATGTGGACAGAGAATAATAATTCAATTGGAATGAATTGGAAGAATTTTTTTTTTTTTTTTAGTAAATTAACTTGAAATAAATTAGAAGAAAGGAAGAATCGAACAAATATTTTTCTATTTTAAATGACGTAACAAATTGTGAACACGTGTTTGTGCGAATTTCATAAGATTTTGATAAATTTAACTCTCAACTAGAATTAGTTATGTAATATGTAAAGTGCAGCCGGTCGAGAAAGTAGGTGAAGCATTCTCTCTTCGTATAATTGCATTAATTCATTTACCAGCCTCTACCTGTCAAGTTCTAATCTAATAAGGAATATTACCGCTGACAGAAATGTAAACTAGACTTAAGGGAACATTCGTTCTTAGATTGGAAGATTGATTTCCTTTCCGAATCTCGAACAATTTTTCCACAAATTAATTCAGCGCAAATTTCTCTCAACCTCTCGTTTGATCTCATCGTGTTTTTTCTTTTCGTTCGTTAACAAATTTCACAATTTTGAAAAAAAAAAAAATAATCATTCCATTAATGATCGTTGATTTCGATTCAATGCCGAGGAAATTTTCTTTTTCTAAAATTTTCACTGATCTCTCTGATAGAAACTCGTAGTGGTAAAAATTGAACGAAATCAAAATCAGTATTAACGATCGTCCAGTTTTAATGGCAAGAGACGAATTAAAAAGATCCACTCGCAAAGAAAGGGAAGCCTAGCGGAAGGAGGGCGGAATAGCCAAACTGTTCCTGTGTGTTCCAGGTCTGTGCGGCAAATTACTCGACTCGACAAACTGCACCGAGCACGAGGGTGAGCTTTTTTGCAAAGTGTGCCATGGACGCAAGTTCGGTCCTAAGGGATACGGCTTCGGTGGAGGCGCTGGTTGCCTGTCCATGGATCAGGGCGAACATTTGAAGAGTAGCGAGTGAGTGCACCTGCCCGTCGTCTCCCCTCCCCTTCTCTACCCCCACCCCTATTCCTCAACCTAAAAAAAAAAAAAAAAAAAAAAAA